TTAGAAATGAGATAATTGTATGATCAAACTAAATTCTTTTTATTTAACCTCTCCTAGTGGTGTTATGATGTTACCAATATACTCAATGATGTCGAGTGGTGTGCAAAACTTTGACGTCGGGCGGGGGCTTGAACCCGCATTCACCCTCTTAGGGGAGAGTGCTTAACCAGTGGCATTTTCGACTACAGTTTTTCTATCACTCTTTGTGAGCTAAAAACAGGTAAAAATAGAAAATCTCACAAAAAATAGGAAAAGTATTTATTACGCAAATTATATCCAAGGCTAGATGTTAATAATTGACTAAAAAAAGCAAGCAAAATGCTATTGTACCATTTCTAGTGAGGAAAAACTCAATGTAGAAAAGTCATGCTCATTCAGGAGGCTCAAATTTCCTTTTTTTTTCCTACGGCCGAGCAAACCATTAATCACTCAAAACAATGAGATAGGCTATCTCTTCCCAAGGCTCATTAACGCTCAACCAATCTATCAATGGTGGTTTTCGCGGAAAGAACAAGCTACCAAAACAAGACTAAAAGAAGTCCCTATAAGAGGCTATTATGAAAGTCGAAATTCAAATGTTCTTATAAACGTGAGAATGAATTTACCTGAGACTAAGTTAGGCTAATTTATGTAAGCATTTGGCGTCAAAACATCATGAACTATTCTTTATTAATTACTAGAAAGTATTAAGCTGATAGAGAACTTATTCACCCAGCCGATGTTTTCAAGGGTTTCAACTTCTTCAGAGCCGATTGGCTCTAGCCAATGCTCTTTAGTCATTCATCCTTGTTGTGGTCTTCATCGTTCTTCGAGTCGATCTTTTTTAGACTAGCACCCGCTCAGATGACAACCTCAACAGCATAGACAAGATAGAAAGCGGAGTAGACTCTTCTTCAACTTGCTTAGACTAAGTAGAGTAGCCGACTTCGCTGTAGTTGCACTGACCAGACACTTTGAGCGCTGAGTTTCCTCTACCCTACACTGAGATAACAATGGCTAATTTACAGTGGAATGCTTTATTGAGCAAAAAAGCCAAGAATTTGAGTATGTGGTTAAAGGCCTTCAGTAAAAAGAGCTCAATCAGTCATGTAAAAAATTTACATTGAATGTGTGTGCGCCAAATCACTAACCTCTACATCACTACGTGCTCATAATTCCTGGCACATTTAGTCGTACGAATATGCATAGTAATAATGTTTTTCCATCACGACAAAGCGCTCTAATATATATGCGTGATACAACGGGAATACGAAATTTAGTAAAGAGAAGAGAGATAGAGCTTTGAAATAAGAATCTATAACCATGAGATGAAATTCTTAAGGTGAAAGGATACATAAGAAAGGATTAGTGAAATATTTTCGAGTAAGTGACTCATACATCATCCTACTGACTCTCCTTTCGAGCTGACACGAAATCGTTGATACGTACTTTGATCTTCGAGTGTACTTACCCTAAAGTGACCTTGCCTTCATCAGAGGCTAAATAAATTTTTTTACCGCTGTAAACACTATACGGGGATCATTCTGCAGTTCCAACAAGGAGGCAGTTGCTTAATCAAGCTGAATGATGTATGATGAAGAACAATCACTGCTCTCGCTTAGATGAGCCATTCGTACGTAGCTTCGTACGCACGACGATAGCTATGAATATTCCCTGTATTGCGAAGATATGGCTGTATCTAGACGAGTGTGAAGAGCAATGGTTAGGGACACTTTGCAGGACAAGCGTAGTTTTTGGATCTATTCTTCTTCCAGGACTCACCATCGCTCCTATTTGTGCGGGACAATAAGAAGCCCTGGCATTTTATAGGCCAGATATGTTATAACTACCTCTAACGATACTTGATGATGTCAAATGCACTGCGCATCTCCGAGTGATTGTTCAACCGAAGGCTTAATTCTGATTATCCTATTTACGCCTATATAACAGTATGTCTAGATTTTGCAGAAGGCGAAGTTGCCGAAAAGTTGACCATCGATCACAGAATTATGGGTGATAGCCTCATGGCATTTGAAGAAAGAACGCTCGTAAGATAATACAAATTAATGACCAAAATAATCAGAAGTGCATCGTTCGGATTATGTTGGATATAGTCTGCGAAACAATAGAGCTATTTTGTACTCATCAAATCTCATTGCTGCTTGTCGCTTAATTCCATCCGAATGTAGGTTAGATGAACTGCAAATGAAATTCTAGTAACGGATATGAAGTGCTTGCTCAAATGAACTTTCATTAGACCTCTACCAGAGCACTAATGTAGATTTTTGCGATTTCCAATTCGAAAGCATTCTAAGACCTTTCATCTTCAATGCTTTTTTGTGTTTTTTGGCGATCTGAAAACAGAAGATTATGATTGCGGAGGCTTCAAGTACTAATTCCTATCAGTGGGCAACTTTGAATGTTTTAAGTGAGGTTCTTTCAGTATTGTTGCTGCTAAAAGTCGACATAGCAAAGTTTGGTTGCCATTTGATAAATAGACAGTAATGTCAAAAAGTGGTGTCAGACAAAGACAGTGTTGTTTTCATACACGGACTGCTTTCGCAATCTTATAAGAGAAAAAGCTTGGTTTTGAGTTGCAGCCGAATAGAATTTTGGATAAGAGAGCCGACCACATGATCCATGACTGAAATAGAAAACAAGAAAAAAAGGGAAGACTTATGCTTATTACGTGTATTATATCGTGAGGTGACCACGGTATTATAATCCGTGGAATAAGTTCGATTGCTATGTCGGTCCCAATTTTTTTGAGAGAATAAATTGCCTTGAAAAAGGGTATTGGAGATAAAATGTCAGAAAAAAAACCATAAACCCTTTGAGCAGCAGATAATTAAGTATAGCTTTACTTCTTAGATTATTCGACCTATACAAGGCTGCTATACAACTCTTACGACAAATGTTCTTATGTTTTCATCTTCTCCGGAGCTGAATGGTCTGGAGTCAATCATTCGCAGTTGTTCGCTCTCCCTGAGTGGTCGTAGTGCACGAAGTCGGATTTCATGTCTGAGGCACCACTCCTATGAAGTACTTCACATTGTGGTGTTTTTTGTGTGCAGGACGACTGTTGCTTCGTACTAATTTTCGACCGGTATATTATGTCTTCCTGCCGACGATACACGTGCCGTGGCCGGGTGCTTGTGATGCTCGCCGTAGCGCGCGTAAAGTCGAGCGCCATCTCCACACTCTTCGGCAGTCAACAAGAACGCCCTATGAAACGCAACGGCCAGGCTATCCTCAATATTGCAAGAAGCCATGCTCGATCAGTAATCTATGTCATTCAAGAAAAAGACGAAAAGGAACTGAATACCAAGAGTGCTAAGATCCGCACAATAAAAATTGTGATGTCGGGGCGTCTGATTTATAAATTATAAAATAATTACGCGTGCAGCAACCGGTATCAAAATAGTTGTCACATAGTGCCGCAGTTGTGCCTTATTAAACAGGCTACTCAAACGCAATGCTAGTAATCATATATTTGGAATATGATAAACATTAACCTTAGTCCAATGAATAAAGTTGGAAATCAAAGATGCTGAAGCACTTTTTCTAAGTCAGATAAGAAAAGTGTATGCTTAAGCTTGCTTACTGAACATTATACTTCCTCGTTTCTTTCCAGAGCAACAGTTTTCAGCATGCAAGAAATTATATTTTATCTCTCCTATAGCAATATTATGTCGTTGTTATTATATATTTCAGAATTTCGAGTGATATGGAAAACACTGAACTTCAGGCAGAAGCTGAACGTGTGCTTCACGCATATCGTGCTCGGGTGCTATCATTACACCATCGAGGTCATCGATCTGCTATCACGCCTTCTTCGATATGACATATCGCAACTATTAGCAACTAATTGTCCGTGTATGGTCCGCTACATATTGGCAATAGGCCCACATAAGCTGGCAGCCTTAGAATTATATATATGCGATTCTAAAGCTAGATAACATACACATCACGATTCGCTACGTTGCGCGACCGACACGGATTTTCTAGCAAACAGTATTTAAATGGAAAGACATCTAGTGAATCTAGATTGTAAGCGAACATTATCACTATTAAATAATGTAATTTCACTGACTTTTGAAAAAGATTTTTTAGTACGGACAACGCCCATGTATTGAAACAAAATCTCTTTTTACAGCAAGAAAATCACATCTTTTCGAAAAGGAACTTATTTCCAACTGTTGTATAGCAATTCAATAAAATCTGATAAAAAAGTTTAAGTCTTTTAGAGGTCTTGTATGTAGGATCTCTAGTGATATACGTACGCTTCGCCTTCCTCGCCTCATAGTACCACATCTCCTTCGGTTCACTTATGCAACCAATGGGAGCAACGTCGAAGAAGTATCACTCTTCGTCAAGTGAAAAGATCAGTTGGTGTGGTGCTCTTTCAGAGTGGTTGATTGTCGATTGCATGACTTACGGCTGTGGATCACTCTGAAAGAATGCAACATCATGTGATCTTTCTACTGGATGGAAGAGAACTTCTCGGCGGTGCTATCCTTAGTTGCAGGAATAAACGTAGTACTGATGAAGCTAGTGAGAGAATTCCTAGTAATCTTCTACTGCGTTTTCCGCAGTGTTATGATCATTCATATATTCCTAGGGGAATTAAGTGGTGAGCAAAACGATGGCCTCAGACGAGAATCGAACCACGTTTCATCCCATCCTGGAGCGCCGGCTCTACCACTACACCACCGAGGCACATTTACGCCACTACTCATTCTTCAACATCTCTATGTTCTCGGATAGAAAGAAACGCGGGTTCGATTTCTACCCGAGACCGTATTTTTGCTCACCACTCAGTTCTTTTAGGAATATATGAATGATCATAACACTGCGAAAAACGCAGTAAAAATTGCTAGAAATTTCGAATAATAGTTATCACAATGGCTGTCAGTTCAGCTGGGTTTATGCATCGAAATCGCATACCCAACCAAATCTGTTGAAGGTTAGTGGCTGATAGCTAACTTAGAGATGTTGAAGAATGAGTGGTGAGGGAATGTGCCTCGGTGGTGTAGTGGTAAAGCACGTGTACCCCGAGAGGATGAAACGCGGCTTCGATTTCCACCAGAGGCCGTGTTTTTGCTAGTGAGAAAGCCGAAACGTACGTGTTCCACTAAAGATGCCATATACCAGACCTCCGAGAGGCTTGAAAGATTCTAGCACATTACACTGTATCTTTAAGAGAGGTCTCAAGATAGTCGATCAAAAGGTATTGTTATATAACATTTGTTCACATTTTTCTAGTCTACGTTTTTGTAGTCGTTCGACAATATGCAAAATGCGATTTTGGTACTAAAGTTGGTTGGTAGAACGACTTTCGTACTATGTTTACTGACGGAGAAAAGATACGCTTAACTCTCCGGGTGCGATGTTTCTGATTCACTGCTAATTTTTGATAATATATAGTTTAATTTTGATTCTAAACAAACTTTGTCGCTGTGACAAAATAGGATACTATCAGGAGAGACTTACAAAAACGTATATACAGAGAAAAGTACTCCCAGTTTTCCAAAAATTTCCACATCTCATCACTGATTGTGTGGAATGCACTTGAATAACAATAATCGCTAAGCAACTGAAGAACTGGAAATTTTGGTCAGACTTGGTTAGCGAAGAGACATTCATGGCACGTCCTGCTAACGAAAAGATGTTTCTCTTCATAGTGTGCGTTGTTTCAACTTGACAGGGGATTTCTTGGCATTGCTTAGTTGGAATTTTGATTCCAAGCAAACTTCATTGCTACATAAGGATATATTATCACTCGAGGGTCTCCTTCCTATAAGTGCGCTTGCGTGCAAGACGCCCACTTGTCCTGAAAATATCCACTTTTCGTAGCAATTGTGGTGAAAGCAATCGCTGTCGAAGGAATGGATCGTCTTTCCTTGCCTTTTTTACCTAACTGAGCTTTTTATTAAACTGCTAATAATCAAGCGAGGCTCTCGAGCTTGAAAGTTGTCTAATTTCAGTACTGATACTGGTTTGTGAAAAGGCTTTGATATTATGTTCTAGTAGTGAACACAAAATTACGCTTCGTGTTCGGTGTGCTTAGCCATTTGTTTGATCTTTACAACTACTTTTTATTTGATACTACGTAGTAACACCTTGATTCTAAGCAAACATTGTCGCTGCAAAAAGAACCTTGAGGTCGTTCATTTGAAAAAATGTATAGAACACCTACAATAGAGTCTATGGACAGTGACAAAAATTTCCTTGATAGAGATTTTTAGAGCGCAATATGAGCAATGATTAAAATTTGTTGCCATGAAAAGATAGGACATAGTTCTGTTGAATGTCTCCAAAGGTCTCAACTTCTGATAGACGCTTATAATGTGAACTCGGTGAGAGCTATCGTTGAAGTGGCGTTGCATGCAGTGTAAATCACTACTTCTGGCAAAGTATTATTGTTATGTGGATGATGATGACTCTGAGCATTGCATGGGACGTGATCATATGAGAATCTAAGAATTTCAATTGTAATATTTGATTTCGGAAGTGAAAAACGATAATATAACTAGTCATCTGTAGGTTCAATATAATCCGTAAGAATATTTAAAGCCATACCGAAGTTGTTACGTCAGAGCCACACACGTGTTTCGGAGGTGCTGCCCTCTTCATCACCTCATCAAAGCCCCCAGCGCCAACCAGGGTTGTGCTACCACCACATATGTCTCTCTCCCCTGCTACAAAGTCAATGGGGCCTGTGTTATCACCACTTTTTTCATGCTTTTTTCATGTGGAACGACTTTCACACTACGTTTTACTAAAGGAAAAAAGATACGCTTTACTTACCGGGTGCGATGTTTCTGATTCAGCTGATATTATGATTCTAAGTAAACTTTGTCTCTGTGATAAAATAGAATACTGTAAAACTATAGATTGCTAAAAAAACATGAAAAAATGGTGATAACACAGTCTCCATCGACTTTGTAGCAGGGAGGTGAGACGTATGTGGTGGTAGCATAAAGTATAATGACACTAGATTATCACCACTTTTTCCAGTCGAGGCATTGCGGTTGGTTCATAAAGATTGATCCATCTCATCGACTGTTTTTTAAACCTCGCTATAAACAGTCAATAAAATCTGTAAGAATGTTAATATATATATATATATATATATATATAATATATATATATATATATATATATATGAGAAGGATCTATCTGTAGATTGTTATATTGACTGATTACTTGGCAATTATTTGTACCAATGAATAAGGTTCAATTGCTCTTGACATAGTAACTGAATGATAATTATGAATGAGATATGGATAATTATAAATAATATAGCATATATTGCTTATTAATAGTTCGAGCTATAAACTGTCTGTAAGCATTTGGTTTGCCCTCAAAAAAGTGGCGTTTTAGACAAACAGATGCTGTTAAGCAACGATGAGTAATTTTCTTAGTTGAGCATAAATACATAAGTTATATTATAGAAATACCAGTTATATAAAAGTTACCAGTTGAGTCACCAGTTTAGTTAGTTAAATACCAATTAAGTTAGTTAAATACCAGTTTATGGTTATAGAAATACCACCGAATGCTCTTAAGCGCAACTAGTTCGCAACCGCTTATATGACCATCTCTGCATAACGAAAGATTGTAAAATATGTCCTAACGGAAGAGGCGGTGATTGCATGAGCGTAGGTACAGTCTACCTAAATCTTGCAAAGCGTGTAGTGATAAATATATAGGCGAAACGTGTAGGCCGCTCTATGCACGCATAGAAGAACACCTAGCTGACAAGCGTCTTAATAGACGGAACACCCCGCTAGGTACGCATAGAGCACAGAAGCATGAGTAGTTGATTTTGAAACCAAGAAACATCAGCGCGACAGATTTTGGGAGCGTTTTGGATTAATACGACCAATCCAACCTTAAACCGCAGAGAGGAATGCCTCGTAAACACTCGTGATATGAGCCAGTATTCAGTGGAACACATATAAAAAGCGGTGAATATGTTGAGTGTTGATTTTGTGCTTGATGCGATTAAAATCTTGGTCTGGTAATTCCTTTAAAGGAGTAATGGAAATGTTGGACTGATTGGATTGCGGACATTTTGACCTTTCCAGGCTCCGAAGAATGCGAACTGCCGAAACGTCAGCTGTCGAATATAGTTTATGGTTACACCTCGTGTTTTGCTTAAAGAAGGAAAATCAGGAATCATAAATACATATATAAAAGTTATTAACCATAAAACAGTAGATCTAAGAAGGAAATCTTGTTGCGAATTACCGATGAAGTGGCACTTTGTTAAAATGTGGAGCATCATTTTCGTCAATTCATTGTTTTAAGGCTGTTTTGGTAAATCTTGCAGAAATTGCTCTATTGAAGTCACTTCTATTATATTCGATTATTTACTGGCAGCTAAGCTCTCTAATGGTGAAGAATCTGTTTTTCGTTAGTAACTACCACACTGTCAATATAAACGCCCTGCACTCGCCGCGCGATCTCGCTTTCCATCGCTTAGAAAAGCAGAGCGGTTCCCCAACGGGTTAAGCTTCTGAACAACTTGCAAACATCTAGTGAATGATCTGTGTCTCGCTAAAAAGTCACGAAGAGAGCGTGTATCAAAAACGCTCACGTGGTCCTCAAAAGAATATTTCGTAATGTTTGCTGTGTTTTCTTATATTCGATTTTTTGCTCTTATTTGAATTTCACTGAGTCTCTGACGTTAAATTTTAATGTTTTCTTTACTCTACAAAGGTGCTACGGTACTATATGCGCTTATAACGAATGAATTCAAATATTAACGTCGATAGGTTTTATATGGACAAAAAGATCACTATACAGTTTAGAAAGCATCAAGATATAAAACAATGAAGAACGATGTGATGTGAGCTCGCTAAAAGCCTTTGATGGACAACGGTTCGTTCCCTCGTCCAGATTCTGCGAACCTTCTAATCATCCAATGAAAAAACAACTAGAAGGCACTCGTGTAGCAAAAAGCTCGCATGACTATCACGGTACACTAGCTAGAAAGCAACTGCTGCACATCAACCAGAAAAGTTGACATTGGGCTCAACTTCCATGAAGGATGAATTTTATGAGTTAAAACCTTTATTATGACGATGATTTACGGCACATGATTCAAGTATACATGAGTTAAAAACTTTATCATAAAAAGGTTTTTGAAAGCATTGAAAAATAAGAATAAATAGTAAATCACTCTAGAAATTAGTTTTCCGTCCTGATAAGAATTCATTCACTTTCGTCACCTCAATGATGACGTGCGCTCCAATTTGCTTGCAGAAGCGGAGCTATTTCGAAACTAATCAGCTGAATGACTCGTTTCAAAATGACCATGTATCAAGTAAAGTCAATATCGGAATAAATTGATCATTATTGGATGTACTTCAAAAGTTTCGGCCTAAAACAGCTTGCTATAAATGGATTCAACAATGTAAAAATGGAGGCTTGATTCGTCATATTCTAAGAGCGAGAAATCCACTGGTACGATTTGAACAATGGCGTCGTCTTCAAATAACGGCTTCAATATGAGTGTGCCAAAAGTTTCACACGATTACAAGAGCACTAGAAGAATTCATCCAACCATTAGCTATTAATGACACGCCTTCCACCGTGGATTTATTACCACTTTATTTCAGTGCACTAATTAGAAAACGCCTCAACTACGCAGATTTTAGTGAGCTTTTGAGGCATGGTTGGAAACCTACTCGAGTCTAAGATAACGCGTTACATTGTATCTTAAATCGCAAAAGTTTCAGCGTTTATTCTATCAATTCATGGCCGCCACCAACAAATAGATTGTTTTACTCGGCTTTTTACGGCTTTTATTCTTAGCATACTCAATATGAGGAATTCACTATTGGAAGACAAATGGTTGCATGCGACAATCGACCTTGGTTTTTTTTCAAATGGAGGTAGCTCGGGCATCTTCAAGTGAAATGGTGTGTTCGATGTCACGACAAAACCACCTCTTACTTGAACTAATAGACTGTTTGTACTTGAACTTCGTGCCACTACAGCAATTTTTTATTTGAAGCGCACGCTCATAACTGATATCCATTGCGGCGACTCGAGTTTCTAGGTGGGTACGGCTACAGCTTGAA